TACTATTTTAAAATATTGTCTTTTTGTACCTAGATTTACATACTTACTCCGCTCGAGTCCAGTCTGGAAATGTTCGGATATTTTACAAGATATTGATAAAAATCTTAAAATTGCTATAGAAAAAATTCTAAATTTAACTTTAAATACAACAGCCTGGACTCAAGCTACTTTACCTATAAAATTTGGTGGCATTGGTGTGAGAAATCTTGCTAGCGTTGCATTGCCTGCTTTCCTTGCTTCCGTGCATAGTGTCAGTGACTTATGTAACATAATTTTAAATAATAAAGTAGACCTATGCTTTGCTACGGAGGCAGGGCAGACATGGCAAACGCTCTATCCTGGTGAAAATATTCCACTGGAAGTTAACCAACAAAAACTGTGGGATATTCCGTTGGTACAGGGCGTGCAGAAGGATTTGTTTCATAATTTCCATAATGACCAAGATAAGGCACGCCTTCTAGCTGTTTTGACTAAGGAATCTAGTCACTGGTTACACGCTTTACCATCAAGTAATCTCGGCACATTACTTGATAGGGAAAGCTTGCGTATTGCCGTAGGAATCCGACTAGGAGCAGCGATTTGTCAACCCCATCAATGCCCCTGTGGTAACAGCGTCGACAAGTTTGGGCTCCACGGACTTTCATGTAAGAAAAGCGCTGGTAGGTTTTCACGACACAGTTCTTTGAACGATGTCATCCGAAGGGCTCTTGCCTCTATAAATGTTCCCTCGGTTTTAGAGCCTTGTGGAATATTTAGAGACGATGGCAAGAGACCCGACGGTATGACATTGGTCCCTTGGGAGAGAGGTAAAGCCCTAGTGTGGGATGCTACTTGCGTAGACACTCTGGCGGCCTCTCATCTGGGGTACCTCGTTTAAAGCCGGGGCGGCATCAGAGGCAGCTGAACTGAGTAAGTGGCGCAAATATGAGTCTCTGAGAGATGACTACATATTTGTGCCATTTGCTGTAGAGACTATCGGTCCGTGGGGTCCACGTGCGGTGAAGTTCCTAAAGGAACTCCATCCGCGGCTGGTCGTTGCTGCTGGTGATAAGAGGGCTGGTTCTTTCCTCGCTCAAAGGCTAAGTATAGCCATTCAGCGGGGAAACGCAGCCAGCGTTCTTGGCACGATACCGCGGGGAGTAGGACTATATGATAATTAAGTTTCTAGTTTTAGTTTTTTTTTTTTATTTTATTATCATAGTTTTTAATATTGTAGATAAAATTAAATATTATGTAAAATTGTAAATAAATATAATTTGAATTTCATCTGAATCTATTTTACAAATATAAACGTGCATACTTATGATATTAATACAAATACCGATTACGTCTAAAAGTTGTTATAAAAATTGACAATTGGAATTGAGAGTTAAATCTTACACAATCCTGAAGGAACGATTTTCTTTTATAAAACTGAAGTGATGTGAAGTGACTTACGGTAAATATGAGAGTGAGTGGCTAGTGCAGCCTGTGGACAGCAGCAACCAACTTCAAACCAAGAAAGGCTACAGATGTGTTGTCAAGTTGTCATATGTTAAGATTAAGGTGGAATAATACTGGCTCTCTATGCAATCCAGACCGGAACGCAGCGATACAAGTCATACTATTTAGAATCAGAAATACAGAAAAAAAATTATTATATACTAGCGATCCGCCCTGGCTTCGCACGGGTGATTTCTGGATCTAGAAAACCCTTTCCCTTGAGTTTCATCGAGACTAACGAACAGCAATTGGTTTTTATATATGGATTATTGTTATATTTGATTTAAGATGTAAAATACCTCACATTGCATAGAATACCAGCGTGAAATAGCACTATAGTGCTGTAGTGTTTCATATGCTGAGTATCTCTGAGTATATAATCGGAGTTCCTTTTTATTGGTAACAAGTCATTCCATCTTAGTCCTCAAGGGAGACAACACAATTACATTTTGATTCATAATCGTATATAATTGTAGATAGATGTCCGTGGGTCAGTGCATACATACAGTACGCAGTGATGGTAATTGGTAACATTGGATTGTAAGCTCATATGTTACGTTTATAACATCAGCGTCATTCTAACTAGAAAATAAGACACTGCAGTTGCAGTCTCTTATTTTAGTTGCCAAGCGAGGCGACTATGGCAAATTTCGTTCTTATAAGGTATCCCATGTTCAACGGTGGACTTTGATAGGCTATTATGAATAAATGTCACCAATAAATGTAACTACTATTGAAAAACTGCTTTTATTGTACATACATTTTAATATTTATTTCACTTGAAACCTAGTTCTTGTTATTTACGGTAATAAGTACAAGTTTTTATATTTCCCATCTTATTAACAATGGAATTTCACTCAAAATATAATCATTTTCCATATTTTTCCATTATTTTTATTCAACATTTTAGTAAAACAAAGACTAAATGTAACTCGAAGATACGCTTTATGATTTTCTTAACAATTCTTTTAAAATAATTTTAAAATCATTCTTTAATTTTTTTAAATGTTTTTTCTTGCAATTATACAATAAACCTTTTAACGGGTATTCCTTTATACTTACTAGGACGCTCCAATTACTTTATTATTTAGTATGCCTTGAGAAAGACATATATGGATTTTAATTTAATTTTTTGAATTTAATTTAATTTAACATTTTCATCTGCCAAACTGCATTACAGTTTGTCGGCAGCATTATTCGTGATATGTTCATAAACAAACAGTCAGTCTTACATACTCATTTCAGTCCCTCTCAACCACAAACGTTACAAAAATATAAAATGCTCAAATATCTGCAATTTACATTTTTAGTTTTATTATATAAATATATATATAGATCTGCGAGGCAAGTACAAGTACTTTTATTGTTAGTGTAAAAATGTGAATAATCGCTTAAAATAAAGAATATACCTACCTATATATGCTATTACTGGAACGATTACTGCATTATGGCGCATGCTATAAGGTTTTTGTGACCCGCGTAGATTTTTAAGACAATCACGGGACAAAATAGGTTGACAGAATGTATCACACCGATAACACCATACATCGGAGTTAAATGGGTCAATGTGGTTTTTAGACGTCTGGCAATTATGAAGAAGGCAGTTACGAAACAGCCTGTACGCATAATTGCTGTCACTTGACGAAATTTCATCATGGTGAAAATTGTTATTAAGGCACTTGTACTTGTTCATTTTACTTGTTGTTGACATGAGAACAGCCTTAATTAAAATTAACGCGCTGCCGCCTTTCACACTATTAGAGTAAGTTCACTTCATTAATTAGTATAATTTACGATGTTGTTTGTGATTGCATATCAAATGAAAACATATCAAATTTTTGTGTAATTAATTTATGTATTTTGTATAGCATGCGGCGGTATATTCAAGTTAGTAATATCGAAGTGGCCATAATTCACCAGGAGTGTATCAATATAATTTTTTCACATAGGCTTTATTATGTAGCATGTCCTCATTTTACTTATTAAAATATCCTCACATAGACACGGGCTTCTCTCATTCTAGGGAAGATCTACCATGACTGATTTGACTGGCCGATTGGGGATCGCGGTGACATAATATGTCATTATGTTGACTTAGCTGGTATTGCGTTAGGTATTACCTTAATTTTTGCATATTGCTTTTTATGTATTTCATTGATTGATTTATTTTTTTGAATAATAATAATATGAACACATTCGCTATCCCAATTTTAACTTATTCGTTTGGTATAATTCATTGCTCTAAAAGTAATTTAATAAAGCTGCAACGTCTCATCAATACAACAATGACTAAATACAGACAACACCACCCTAGATCTTGTAGCGAACGACTCACATTACCTAAACTAGAAGGTGGAAGAGGTTTCATAGATATAAAAAATCTTCATAACTCTCAAATTTCAGCTATTCGAAACTTCTTCCATCAACAAGCCAATAATAGTCCGCTTCATAATGTTGTTGTCCAAGCCGATACTAAACTCACTCCTTTAAACCTCAAAGATCAAAAGAAAACAAAAAAATGAAAGTATTATCTCTGCACAAGATAAAATTAACAGCTGGCTGCAGAAGACGTTACATGGAAGACACCGTCGTGACTTGATGAATACAAACGTAGACAAGATAGCGTCTAACATGTGGCTCAAGCGCGGAGAACTCTTCCCTGAAACGGAAGGCTTCATGTTAGCAATTCAGGACCAAACTATACATACTCTAAACTACAGGAAACACATAATTAAAGACCACACTCTACAATCAGACCTTTGCAGACATTGTCATAATAGCTCAGAAACCATTCAGCATATCACTGGTGCCTGCAGCTCAATAACCCAGACCGACTATAAACACAGACACGACCAAGTAGCTGCCATTATTCATCAATACCTCGCATATAAATATAATCTTATAGATGAAAAAATAGCATATTATAAATACAAGCCCGAAATCATACTTGACTCTCGTGAATTCAAACTCTACTGGGAGAGAACTATATTAACTGATAAGACCGTGCATTATAATAGACCGGATATTACGCTACATGACAAAAAAAAATGAATCAGTTTATCTTATAGATATTGCTATACCAAATACGCACAATTTGACTTCCACCTATAATGAAAAAATAGCCAAATACACTGATTTATCCATCGAAATAAAATCCCAGTGGAAAGTAAAAACTGTAAAAACTGTACCTATTATAATATCTGCAACTGGCGTCATTCCCCGTTCACTTTGTTCTAGCTTAAAGGATCTAGACATTCATAAACTTACCTTTATATTGCTGCAGAAAGCAGCAATATTGAATACGTGTATATTCTACACGTATTCAATATTGCTGCTGCTGTCCGTAAGTTTCTGTCTAAAGATTAAACTTTCAACCGAGTTCGTTTGGCTAACAGCCCGCGAAAAAGGTGTAATAATGGGTCCGCCAAATAACTTTTTTTTTTAAAATGCTATTAAAAAAAAAACTACTAAATATTTTTTCATATTTCTTTTTTTATTTGAAAGTACAATCCTTCCGGTTAATGATGGAAAATAATTTCATTCAAATGGCTGCCTCGGCTGGCCATGCAGTAGCCTACACGATCGGTCCAATTTTTGAGTACATTATCGATTGTGTGCAGCTGTATTTCACCAATGGCTTCACGAATATTGTCCTTTAAAGCGTCAATTGTCTCTGGCTTGTCGGCGTAACACTTATCTTTGACGGCACCCCACAAATAATAGTCCAACGGTGTCAAATCGCCGCTCCGAGGTGGCCAAACGACATCAGCTCTGCGGCTGATAATGCGATTTTCAAAAACAGGGCGCAAAACATCAAGTGTAGCGTCGGCTGTGTGGCACGTTGCGCCGTCTTGTTGAAACCAAATGTTGCCAATATCCTCCTCTTCAATTTCTGTGAACAAAAATTCGTTCAACATGGCCCGATAACGATCGCCATTGACTGTAACGGCCACACCTTGCTCGTTTTCGAAGAAAAATGGCCCAATTATGTCTCTGGACCAAAATCCGCACCAAACAGTGACTCGTTTTGGGTATACCGGCTTTTTGATGAATGCGTGCGGGTTTTCTGTGCCCCAAATGCGACAATTCTGCTTGTTTACATACCCGCCAAGTTCGAAATGAGCTTCATCTGAAAAGATGATTTTTTTGGCAAAATCCGCATCTTCTGCAAGTCGATCGCAGGCCCACTTAGCGAAGCGAAAACGCATTGGATGGTCAGTTGGCTTCAACTCCTGAACCAATTGGATTTTGTACGGCGTCATACCAAGGTCTTTACGCAAAATTCGTCTCAATGATGTCTCCGAAATGTCCAATTGTTGAGAACGACGGTGAACTGATGTTGATGGCGTTTCACGCACACTTTCGGCCACAGCAGCAATATTCTCGGGTGTACGCACTGTTTTTGGCTTTTCACGCGTTGGTTTATCGATGAGGATGGCAGTTTCTTTCACTTTTTTCACAAGGTAACGAACATACGGAGCTGACGGTGCTTCATTTCTTCCAAAATCCGTACGCAATTTTCGCACACATTCTGCAACATTACCATGATTTTCAAAGTAACGTCGCAATATTTCCCAGCGTTGTTCAAGCGTATACACAACCATATTCGTTCAGCGGAAGGATAAAACTAATTATCTGTCAAATTAGACATGAGCTAAGTGTTGCCATTCACGAAATAAGCACTAGTTGAAAAAAAAAAGTTAGATGGCGGACCCTATACCTCGGAAACGAGAGAATACCAAACAGAAAGAATAAAAATAATAATAATAATAATAAACTTTATTTCTCTCTACAAAATAACATTTACAAAATATCATTACATTTAAATATTAAGTAACTTACAAATGCTAGTTGTAGAGACTGGTGACGATAATAGGATTCCCTGTGCTACAGCCACCAGACTACAGAATGTTAAAGAGGGAGCTAAATAGGCCTTGTTATTTAAAATTGAACCACGAGTATACTACATTCCCTCTCCGTGTGGTGGTGATGTAAGAAAATCCATCATCTCACTCAGAAAAGAAAAATAAATTTTTAAGCTCCTTACTTTAGGGAATGAATCTTCATATATCTGGCAGAGGCGCCGACTAAATGGCCGACAACAAACATTTCGGGTAGAATATTTGATTCTAAGGGTAAATCCTCCGTGACATACCAATACTGGAAATTAGATCAACGTTGCGAAATATATGGTACCAATCCACACTCGTACGACATTTTTCATAGAAGTGAGAGTGACAAACGAGCACACACAAACACACGCACGTGATGGTACCAAGATGTTGTGTCCCATAGATTCCTACAGCTATCCTCGATTAAGAATCAAAATCCAGATGTGTTGTCACGCCTGAAGACTAAGATGAATTGCATGAACTCTACACTCACGATACAAAACACAGCAGCATTAAGCTGCTATTTTACGCCGGTGTTCTGTAAGAGCGTGGTCCTTCCCCGGTCGAGCAAACACATTCGTGCTTCAACCTAAACAGCTTCAGCATGGCTCTACCAGTACTAGTGTCTCGTTTCCTCAGTCGTTAAGGTCTCCAGTTCCTATCATTTTAGGGCTTGTTTTATTTTCATGCTGGTATTCTATGCAGACATGACATTGCTCTACCTCGCTCGAGCCGACCCATTCATTCTGTAACTGCAATACGCTGCAACAATATATATGTTATATATGTTATAATTAAAATAAATTCAAAATGTAGGTATATCGTTTCATTTAATTGAAATCAAGCAGCATTTACACTTAACCTACTTTGCCCAAGTTTGTTCAATGTGACAAAATGTGTAAAATATATACGTCATGATGTGTAAAACAATATGTCAAATCTCGTCTTCTAAATGTTAAAAGAACTACATGAGTGAATACAATAAAGCTACTTTTATTGTGAGATTGGCAACGAGCTAAATAAATATGATGTTCACAACTTTTTGTGTAGTATTCAATATTTATTAGGTTCATTTCAAAATACTGAATATTGATTTAAATAAGCGAAAAAGTTTTTCAGGCCTTTTTTCACTGCTATTACAAAAAGGTGTTTTAAGAGATTTAGAATCAATTCATCCCCTCTTTGATAGCCATGTCTATTCAAACTAATGTGTTTACACAACTCTCTTTAGTAAAATGGCCAACTTTATGAAATTCTCATATTAATGTAACTTTTATTAATTCTGAATTTTAGTTCATGTCGTTAATGTATCAATAAAGGTATACTTTTTGAAACTTTACGTTTTAATTTTGAGTTTCGATTTCTAGCGATGCTCATTGGTATCTATTATTCATCAACGTAACGATACTGAAAGTTTTATTAAAAAACAAGCGACCGCGCCAGCTTCGCCTGAGTAGGAGCTATCAATGTGACGTTATTTACATTTAAGATAGTATACTTATAATTTATAAATTATTCATTTTCTTAAATAAGTTTCCTGGTTAACTTATAGCCTAGATAACTCCTGGCATAGCTCTTTATATTATGCTTGCCAAATTTCATTGCGATCGGTTCAGCCATTCCAAAGAGAAGCCAGGACAGACAGACAGATAAACAGACAAAAGTTTCAAAAGTGGTTTTACATGTCTTAATGACATGCAAGTAACCCCTTCAGCTCAATAAAAGGTATTTATTTAGATATTACAGACAGACACTTCAATTTTACTTATACCGTTAGAGCCTATCAAAAATTTTCTGCTAAACAGGCCTTTCTCGAAAATTGCTTCATTAAGAGGGGATATTAGCCACAGTTGTCAGGTTGGCAGGCGGATTGGCAGGTTTTTTTTTTAAATTTTTAGTTGTTATTCCAAAGACGTTGGTGTCCATCTCTTTTTCCTATGTCGCCTCTTATAACACCCACGGGACGATTTCCAAGGAATATGGTACGCTTATACATGATAAGGTGCTTTATTTTTATTAATTAATAAAATATATATTACATTTTCTATTGAGGGACAGTGGTTTATTGATAGCCTCGGGCTTAAGTTTTGGTTTACGAAGAGTCCTTGTAACTAAAGTGGTGTCTTAAACGCGGCGCCACAGTTTACGCGAAATTTGGTTTTTGCTTAACAGCAACATCAGCACTCCATACTATACTCTTTAGTTCGTACGGGAATTCTTCCGTGAAACAGATTATAGTTGCTTACGTGGTAGAGCCGTGCTATAGTTGTAGCACGAATGGGTCGACCGGGGAAGGACCACGCTCTCACAGAATATCAGCGTAAAATAGCAGTTTAACGCTGCTGTGTTTTGTATGGTGAGGGTAGAGAACCGGAGACCCTTTTTACTGGACATGAGACATTCCTCCTTAGTCCTTACGGGTGACAACGCATCTGTATTTTGATTTGTAATAGAGGATAGATGTAGATGTCTATGGGCCGCAGCAAACACTTACCATCAAGTGGACTGTGTGCCCGTTTGTCATCCTTATTCTATATAAAAAAAAGTTAACACCTCAGACTAATTACATACTATTCTTTGTGATGATGATGATAATGATTAGAAGTAAATGACGTCATATTTTTTGTAATCAACTTACACATGATAATACTTAAGCACCCTCAAGAGAGAGCCTACTCTTTTTTCAAAGGCTAGTCACACTCCTGCAACTCTCTGGTGTAGCAGTTGTTCATGGGCGGCGGCAGTCACTTACCATTAAGTAATTTAGTGGTAGTATAAGTAGTATAGTTGTAGCACGAATGGGTCGACCGGGGTAGGACCACGCTCTCATAGAATGCCAGCATTAAATACTAGCTCAATGCTGCTGTGTTTCATATAGTAATAAAATAGTAGTATAGACCATTTTTACTGGATACGAGGCATTCTGTCCTAGTCATCAGGAGTGGCAACGCATCAGCATCTTGATTTGTAATTGAGGTTAGATGTAGATGTCTTTGGGCCACAACATTCACTTACCATCAGGACTGTATGCTCGTTTGTCTAACTTATTCTATAACAAAGTAAATAAAAAATATGCTATTTCTATGTAAAAACAATTAGAAAATTGACCTTCTATGAAGAAACATTAACATTAACCCTGACTTTGGCAGGAATCGGTGTGGCGAGCACATATAGTATTTAGACTAAAATTTAAAATAAGTTAAAAAGCAATATGATAATTAAATACATTCGATATTCTAAATATATCCGTAAAATGCACGAACCCTTTTTGTAAATTGAATGGACCATCGAACATATAGTCCACCTGACGGTAAGTGACTTGCAATTGAAAATACATACACATCGAAAATATTATTATATTGTGATCATTATTGTAAATGGTGTAATGGAGATAAAATTAATAGAAGGTAGTGAACCAAGCACTCACTTGTTTAAGCAATAGTTTATGTTATATTGATTATACTGACAAAATTATAAAACTGCCTTGTTGGTCTAGTAGTTGTAAGCGCAATTGATCATGGGGTCTTGGGTTCGATCCCGCGTCTGGTCAAATATCAGTTGCTGCGTTTTAAAATATTGTATTATTTACATTCAGTTCCTTGTATATTTTGTAACTACAGCAAAGTATTTTTTCTTCATGATCATCATCATTACAGCCTTTCATGAGTCCACTGCTGAACATAGGCCTCCCCCAAGGAATGCCACAAAGCACGGTCCTGAGCCACCAGCATCCATCGTCTTCCTGCATGTCTTACCAGGTCGTCACTCCATCTAGTGGGGGGTCGCCCTACACTTCGCCTACCGGTACGAGGCTGCCACTCGAGAACCTTTCTTCCCCATCGGTTGTCGTTTCTTCAAGCTATATGGCCGGCCCACTGCCACTTCTGCTTACTCATCCGTTGGGCTATGTCGGTTACTCTAGTTCTACTGCGGATATCCTCATTTCTAAGTTTATCACGCAGAGAAACCCCGAGCATAGCCCTCTCCATAGCTCGCTGAGTGACCTGGAGCTTCCTCATACAGCCAGCAGTGAAGTACCACGTCTCAGATCCGTAAGTCATCACTGGCAACACGCACTGGTTGTACAATTTCGTTTTAAGGTTTTGAGGTATGTCTAACGAGAAGATGTGTCATAGTTTCCCGAACGCTGTCCAGCCGAGTTGAATCCGTCGATTGACGTCTCGGTCGAAGTTGGACTTACTTAGTCGGACTATTTGTCCCAGGTAAACATACTCGTCAACAACTTCGAGCTTAGTGCTCCCTACAACTACCGGCATAGGTGTGACATGGACGTTAAACATGATTTTTGTTTTGTCCATGTTCATCTTAAGGCCTATCCGTTGGGAGACACAATTGAGGTCATTGAGCATAGTGCTTAGGTCCTGCAGCGATTCTGCCATAATGAATATGTAGTCGGCAAATCGAATGTGAGTGATGTACTCGCCATTGATGTTAATACTGTATCCTTTCCAGTCCAGTAGCTTGAAAACGTTTTCCAAGGTAGCGGTGAAGAGTTTCGGGGATATAACGTCACCCTGTCTTACACCTCTCTCCAGATGGATAGGTTTCGCACTCTGATTCTATGCTCGGATAACCATCGTAGCTGTATTGTACAAACACTTCAGCACTTCGATATACCGACAGTCAACTTGGCACCGCTGAAGGGGCTGCAGCACCGTCCAAATTTTGATGGAATCCAAGGCTTTCTCATA